AACATTTCCTCTGATTATTAATTCATTAGTAGTGTATCCTTCAGCTTGATGGACTGGCTTGCGTGATTAGTTATCTACTTATATGACTCCGTTACCAGAGCACAAGTCCTTTGGCAAACGGGATGGAGTTTGTGCTGCCTCCCGTTGCGGCCGATTGGGCGTGCGTCTCGGAAAAATGAAAAGAAAGAAGGAAAAGTTGAGCGTGCTGAGAGGGCTCGACAGAAGCACATCGCTCAAGCACCGGTACAGTTGCAGTGCATGGGAACTATGGCTTTGACTTTTGGACCAAAAGAAGGCTCAGTCCTCCAGAAACACTTCCGTCGCGTCGTTCCGTCGTCAGCCATTGCATTTCCCAGCCGTGGCTCAAGCTGCGCTGCAGCAACTTTGCATGTATCCAAGGAGCAAGCAGATGCTTAACATTGATGTGCTTTTGCAGAGGTTTCAACCCGGCTCCCACTTACTGTGCATTTAGTCTCCTGTGCGTCTCTCCATTGCTGGTTTGCTCACGTAGTGAATTGTACCGTGCCAGCGAGAGCTAGACTGATGTGGGGCTGCCACAGCGTGCCTTGGTAAGGACTGAAAGGGTAAGGACTGTAGGTAATACAGCGAGTAACCACTGGGTGGCTTCCGTGTCTGCATAACGTTTTTCCAACGCTGTCCTGGGTTGTCTTGCAAAGCTGTGACGGAAAGGTTGTTTGCGGTCACTTAGCATGCAGTCCTGCTTTGCCCAGGTTCCCTGCTCTGCCCATGTAGCCCAATGCATGTGAACTACCCAAGAAGGAGATGCTAGGGAGTAGTGCAGAGGAAGCCTAGGGATGGCGCTGCCCTGAGATGAGAAGTCCCGGTCAGCCGGTCTCCTCTTGCATTGGGGTCACGTGGTCCTTGGTGGGGTGCAGGGTGAAGTAAGGACCTCCACTTAGCATGGTCCTGGATTGACAGATGTGGTATCCACCTAGGAGGACCTTGAAGGAAGCCCGGTGGCTCTCTCAGCTAATTTTGGGCGTTACTGATTCCCAGGCACCTCTGTGCCTGTAGCAGACAGCTGTGGTCTGCAATATGGTTCATCTTCAGGGTCAAACCGAGAAGGAGCAAGTCAAAAATCCAGCCCAGCCTTGGTCCACCTGGGCTTGTCGTGGCATTGGGAGCATCGGTCTCTCCGAGCCGCTGGCCTCACCCCCGCCTTTCGCCCCTTCATTTTGAGTTCACCGACTCCCTCTCCATTTTTGCCCCGATTTCAAACGGTCTTTTACGCTGGGCTGATGGCACCAAAAGAAAGTGTCCCAAAGCACTGGTCATTTTTACAACACGGTTCTTTTAGCTCTTTGCTGGAGCCCTGTTTCTTGCTGTTTACGAACCAGCCTTTCTCCTTTATAGCCTGGATCCTTCTTCTGGGGGCCTGTTGGCAAATTGAAGTCTCCTGCTTATGAACTCAGCCCTCCACCCTCACGGACTGGATTGTATTGATTCAGGCGTATTGGTGGCACCACTGGGGACTGGAAGGGCTCAAAAATAGGAGATGAAACTTTGGATAATGAGGAAAAGTGGTGAATTAAAAATGCAGAGAAGAAGTGGTAGCTGAGCATTGTCAGGCTGGACAGATGATTCTTTTTGGAGACTGATGTTCATGGTTTATCTGTGGGCAGCAGCAGTACAGTCTTCCCCACCCTGGACCCACCACCGAGATTCCTCCAGAGCTGGGCAGACCCGATGTAGGGAAGGCTCCTTTGCTCCTTGGCCAATTGGAGGTTTTTTTCCCTGCAATAGTGGTTCTTTCAGTGATCTTGGAGGCCTGTCCCCAAAGAATGAGCCTGCAGTAACAACTCCATTCCCACTGACTGCTGAACAGGCAAGGAGGAGTGAGACTGCTGGCAAGACACTCTGGAAAGCCTGAAGTTTTCTTCATCTGGCCGTGATCCTTCTTCCAACTCATCTTGACTGGTGGCAGAGTGCGTGACCAGCAACATCATCCCAGTACGTGCTAGCCTTTAGGTGGTTGCTCCGCTCCATGTACTCTGCTGGCGACAGGTCCACGAGACAGGCTTCATTTTACAAGAAAACTCATGACGGCTATTGGGGAAATAGCTCAGATGCAAGCCCAGGGCCAGACTAGTATCTGTCACTGTGGTCCTTTGCAATTCAGCTGCAAATAGGTGGGTTGGGGACTCCAAAGATAGTTAGAAGGCACCAGGCCTGATTCTTATCTTCTTTCCATCCTTTCTATAATGCCAGTAAGGGGCATTTGAACCAGTGTGAAGGGCGGGGAGGTCATCCTTGTGCTAGTGTGTGTGACCGGAAATTGCGAGGGCAGAGTTTGAGCTTGCTGTAAAATGCAAGGTGCCAAATTCCTCCTCCTCCTCCTTCCCCCTCCACCCACCTATTAGTTGCTTCCTCTGTGCGCAGCAAGGTGGGTCCTAGATTGGTGGAGTTCATCCCTCCCGGAGTCGTGTTTGTCCAGTGGAACAGGAATGGGCGTGCCGAGTGCATGCTTCATGGGGATCTTTCAGGGGAGGCCGGCTGCGAGGCTGTTGCTGGCTGACCTGGCAGGTTGCAGTCAGCCCACGGGCTGCCTGGCTAGAAGACGTCTCCTGCCTGGCAGCCTGTTGCATAGGCAGGAGCTCCTGAGTGTTGAGACCTGTATCCTTGGGTGTGGAGATGACACGTATTTAAACCTGAGCCTTGGCTAGTCTGTGAACACAGGGAGGAGTCTGGGAGAGATCAGGCCTCTATTAGCATGCTGCCGGGAGTAGGACTTGGGGCTGTGGGGGCGTGTGCTAGTTTGGGTACCAGGAAGCTTGAGCTGTCTCTCTCTCCTGTCATTTGGGCCCCTGCCAAATGCAGGTAAAGGTGCGATGGGATCCAATGCGCAATGCACACAGTTGTATTTCCTGCTGTATCACGTAAGCACGGCAGCGGGCGTGATTGTAGGATCAGGGGTCAGATCCCGTCACACCTTATTGCTCGTGTGAGCCCGGGTCAGCGTGGTGCACCCCTGCAGCTGGGAGCCCCATCGGATGGCAAGACCCCCAGCCACAGGGGCACACCTGGCCATACGTTCAGCTAATGGTGTGAGAGAGACCAGCCACAAAGTTGTTACACATTTTCTGTGGAACAACTTTGTGGCTTATTCCACATTTCAGCACACCATTAATTGAATGAACATGTGGCCGGGCCACATCTTAAGATGCAGTTAACTGGTTAATGAAGTGTTAAGTGCAGTGTGTGGCAAGGGGCCTTGGCCTCTGGGTTGAGTTCAGTGTTTCCCCATCTGGAAAATATAATGGTGCTGTGACCTCCTTTGTGAAGCACCTGGGGATATGCTGACGGAAAGTGGTAGGTGAGCGCTGGGCGGAGAGAGCATCACGGGTGCATCATCCTCATCGTCACCCCTCTTCCTGCCCTGCACAGCCGGCGAAGGCTCACAGGGGCTGGGCTCTCCTGGCAGTGATCCCTGCGGGGTTACGCCCGAATTGCAACACCCCGCCTTGGCTGCCATGCCACCGAAGGGTCAGGAGCGCAGCCTGCTGCGTGGGTCAGGTGAGCTGCCCCGAGTGACTTGGCAGCCCAGCTGGGGTGTTGGTGAGTGCTGGCTCCAACACGCAGTTCTGATCCTGGGGCCAAACATGCGGAGCTGATCGCGTGCGACTGAGATGGTGCGTGCGTGTGCTGAGCCTGCAGCGGGGGGAGCAATGAATGGGGCATATGCCACAGGACCATAATCGGGAGCTTTTTCTTTCCAGGGGAGCATCTAGTCAGGAGGAGCCGTCAGCCCGACTTGTGGGGGGTAGCGATGCAACCCCTCGCCAAGCCCTGCTAATACACCCAGGCGGGAGTGTGAGAGGGGCAGCACGGGGCCCAGATCAGACCCTTGAATCTGAGCACCTCAAAGGGAGAATCCCCATCCAAATCCCTCCATGTGATGAATGGGACTCACAGGCCTCTAGCCCCCCCATGCTGGGAAGTGCTCGCGATCCACATCCCAAGCCAGTAGCCCCAGCCCGTCTCCGGTGCTTAGCAGGTTAAAGTTATGAGCAGGCTTCAAGAAGGATTTATTTTTTCCCCCACTCCACCGCGCTCAGACCCCGTGAAAGCTCCTTGCTGTCTGCACTAAACTCTCTTATCTTATCCTCTCCCTTCCCTCTGGATGAAACCTCACCTCCACCTCCTTCTGCTTTATTTGACCAGCGCCGTCTAAACCCAAGCAGCGTGCAGCGACCGGGCTTGATCGGGCCGTTAGCACCACTAATTGGAAAGCCCGGCTTTGCGGGAAGAG